TCAATCAGTCTGTTTGGATTCTTCAAAAATACATTGAGAACTATCAGAGGACTAGTTCACCAGTGGACAGTTTAATAGTTTTAAGCGAAGAATAATTTGGAATTCAATTGTTCCACTGGTTCTCGGACGGTTTGGATTAAGTTTTAAAGAAACCCGAACAGACTTAATGTAATCCAGTGACAGTCTCTTCAAATTTTTAAAAATGTTTATTTCCAAGTCTAATTATTAAAAAACTACAAAACAAACTAAGTCTGCTTTTGCTTAGATTAGAAAAAAAAAAGGTTTGTATTTCGTGTAAACTTATTTATTTAAATTACAAAACATCAGTGCTTGTCTACAAAGAATTATGGGTGCAAATATAAAAAATATGTGATAGTAAAATAGAAATTTAGGTCAAAACAACAAATTTAAAAAAAAATATTTTTAGCTTATGTTTGAAACAGTCACTATATGGACACCACACCGAGAGGGACTTGCTTGGTTTCCATTATTGAATACTTACCTTCACTTGTCAATAAAAATACAATCATAAAATATATGTTTTATAAACTTTACTCCTATAAAAAAACAGCTAAACAAATATCAAAACTTGTAAGTTCATCACCAACAAAAACTTCTAAAAAGTATCAGAAGAAAAATAGCAAACAATAAACTAATTATTTCAAGAGACGATAAAGGCAACTGACTAGTTATTCCAAATCAAGTTAATTATTTAAACAAAGTCAATATTTTTCTGATTGAAAATAAATTTAACATTTTGTCTAATAACCCATTTAACATTTTCATAAGAAGAACTAAAGCCTTACTTAAGTTAAACAAGGATTTTCTAGCAGAATTTCTAGCCTCGCATTGCATGAGTACTATCCAACCCCATCATACCCCTGTAGAGACTTCCAAAGATCCAGAAGACAGTCATATCGAAGACTAGTTGTAAGTTTTATCGACACTCCAGTCTCAAAAATCACAACTTTTATTTGCTACCTAATTCACTATTTCAAACAATTCAAACTAGTTAACTCGATAAGTAACAGTTTAGAATTTTGTAATATATTTAAAAAATTTAACATTTCTGACAACTGGATTATGGTTTCCTTCGACGTCAGCAACCTGTATACTTCAGTCCTAAGATTTGTGACCATGCCTTTGGTTCGGGAGTCTTGAAAAGTTCAAACATTTCAGATAACATAATTTTACATTTTTTACACCTTTGCTTATCACAAATTTTCTTCACTTTCAACAACACTATTTATGAACAACCTTATGGCCTAGCTATGGGATATGGCTTATCACCCCTAGTCGCTGATATCACTTAGATACTAGTTATATAATACTACAACATAAAAACATTTTAACTTATCACAGATATGTTGATTTTAAACTTTGCAACAGAGGTGAAGTACCTAGGTCTCACCTTTGCAACAGAGGTGAACTACCTAGGTCTCACCTTTGACAGCAAGTAAACATGGAACTTACACTTAGGAAACACCGTCAAAAGAGCATACGTTGCTTATGAACAATGCTGCTGAACTTTGGGGTGCACCTGGGGTTTCTCCCTTAGAGTCGTCGACTAACACGGCCATCATAGGATCTATGCTAACATACGGTGCAGTTGTTTACATACCGAGAAACCAAATCGAAAATCGACACCTATCCATACAACAGAACAAATTTAAAGAACAGCATGTCTCAACATAACAGAGGCATGAAAACCACAACAAACAGAGCCATGGAAGTCATTCTTAGTCTCACTCCCCTTGATATTTACATCAAGGAGGTTGCTCTGATGACAATGACACGCCTCCGCACGGTTGGAATAGAACCTGATGTAGGATCTGGTGAGGCGAGGCGACGCTTTTGGCAGGAGGCGCTCAATCTGCTTCAAGTGAACATGAACTCCATCTCACCGAGATATATCTTCCATAAGCCATATAAAGTTATAATAGAACAAATAGAAGAGCCAGAAGTGGCAGGTACAATTCATATCTACACCGATGGTTCTAAAACGAAACAAGGCTCAGGATTCTTAAACCTAAACATAAAATGGGCTGTGAACTAGTGACAGTGTGGTTCAAACAGAGCTAACGGGGATTCTCATGGCAGCAAAAGAAATAACCAGAAACAATATCTCTGGAAGGAATATGCTCTTCTATACAGATAGCAAACAAGCACTACTCACCCTAAACAGACCACAAATTTACTCAGGGTTAGTACTAGAATATCACGAAGCTTTGACCAAAGTATCCATCAACAATGAAGTCACCTTAAGATGGATCAAAAGTCACGTCACATCGAAATGAAACCGTCTTGCTGATTCACTAGCCAAGAAAGCAGCCAACCAAATACTTTTTAGACCTGGCCCTTCTATTGGCCTGACAAAATCGGTAGTGACAGACCTAATTAAAGAACATTCCCTTGTGAAATTCAAGGAAAGATGGGATAAAACAAGAAACTGCAGAGTTGTCAAGGAGGCCTTAAGTTATCCTGACAACACTGCAGCAAACAAATACTTGACTATGACTAGACAGAATTTGCGCCTAGTCACAGGCATTCTGACTGGTCATTGCCAAGTATGGAAGCATCTTCATATCATGGGGCTGTCAGAATCCGCACCCTGCAGAGGGTGCGAACAAGAAGATGAGACCATCGAGCATATCCTTTACGATTGCTCGACACTCTCATTTATTAGAAGATTTGTGTTCGGCGAGTATCAGCTAACAACGGCCGATATAAGAGAAGCACCTCTTGGCGACATTGTCAACCACATTAAATCTATAGGCTGGCTCACGAGCTAGGAGGTGCCTATCATCTTAGGAGGATGCACAATGGGCCTAATAAGGCCTAAGTGTCGTAGGAGTAACCCACCCTCCACACGTTACCGATATAAATTCACCTATAGGGATTGCGAGTTCTGTTTTGCCATCTTTGGCTCTCTGAAAACGTTCTGTAGAGCCCGGGCTGGCACATCAGAATCACGTGAGCGTTATTGTTGTTTTATATTGACATTAAATCAAAAACCTTTTAGTATTTCTCAAAAATATTACATAAAAAAAATTTTAAAATAAAATTAAAGTTACACACTAAATAACTTTCAAATTTTGATCAATTTTTATTATAACTTCCTCAAAACTTTATCAAACATACAATTAAAAATACAAATTCACATTCATTTTTTAAATCCTTCGTTTACCTAAATAACCGTTTATTCCCTCAGACTTATAAAAATAAAATAATAAATAGAATAACTTATTTTTCTATCCATCTTCACTCTCACTTGAATTACACTTGGACTAACTTGATTCACATTTGCGAGAGAACGCACCTTTCTCTTTTGTCACTTCAACCACCGAATGATGGTGTACATTGAAAATTAATTTAATTGAATTTCAAACAAATACCAATATACTAAACATTTAAATCTTCGTAATAACACGTTCAACAAAAGTATTTAGGAAATTTAGCAAGGTGGGACTCACCCAATTAATAAAATTGAAGATGACTGCCGAACTTTATGGATATTTATTGTGACTGTTATTAATTTTGTAATATTCCTCTAAATTCAAACCAATTTTCAATTATATTCATCATATATTTTCCCTTTTATATTTTTTAACTTGTTTTTAATGATTAGGGCTTTATCTCAACACAAGCAAATGCTTTTTGGAGGTTTGATTTGAACAATGAAGGGTTTGGTGCCTAATAATTGTCTTCAACACAGGATTTTGTCTATAATTTGTATAAAAAAATGTCTATTTAAAAAAATTAATTGTTTCGACTCAAATTTCTAGCTTATATTCACATATTTTATATATTTACACCCACAATTCTTTTTAGACGAGCACTGATGATGGCGTAATGCCGAGAGCGCTTTGCAGTTTAAATATATAAATAATTTTGTACGAAATACAAACCTTTTTTTGCTAATTTTTGCTTTTCTTATGTCATCCAGGAATAGCAAAAATTATGAAATGCAAGTTTTACAAGAAGTGCTAAGGTTAATTTCGAGTCAGAATTTTAGGTTTAAAGTCGGAATAACAACTCAAAATTAAAACTTGAAACGCAAAATAAAAAAAAAATGAAGGTGGCCCTTGTATGCTTTCGTACAAATACGTAAATGTATTCTTATTATTGTTTTGGTTTTAGTATGGCTAATATCAAAAAATATTATTGAAAATCAGAGCTTGTCCGGTTATTGGTATCATCCTTGTAAGTTTAAGTTGAAAATTTGATGTTTTTCTAAAAATTTGAAATTTGTTTCTCAAATACGGACCACTTTAAGAAAATTATGAATAAAATAAAAAATTGCAAGAATTTCTTAAAAATTTGCATGACATGTGGCACATCGTTAAAATGGTTTATTTTGAGAGTATTAATATGTAAAAATTTAAAATTGCTGCTCTAAGAAATAAAAATATTCTCCGTTCAATAGAAAGTCAAGAATGTAACACTTTAGAACATGTCAAATAACAGTTAAGCCGTCATTTAGAAAACAAAATTAAATATGCAATTTTCAGTTTTTTTTTAATAATTTAAAAACTGCGTAACTTTTGGTAATTGTGAAAACAGATCTGGAGTCAGCAATAAATTCTCTAAAACATTCTCCATTTATTTAACTGATCTTCTATATCTTGTATTAAAGAGATACCAAGTTAAAAACTCGAATTTCGAAATAACTCTATAGATACAGTGAATCCCAAATAGTTTTATATAAATAAAAAAAGTTTGTCTTATTAAAAAGTTATAAATTCATAATCAAGTAATTGTAAGATAAAAAAAAAATCAGCATACCCTTTATTAGCATTGGTTATTAATTCATAGTTTTCTCTATATCAAAATTTAATAGTATTTTATTATTCATTATAAAACATTATTTTTATTTTTCCTGTATACCACCTATATTTAATTATGGATTCTCAAGTGATGCAGAACTGTTTCTCAATTTTTTTTTATTAAATGTAAGATACATGGGGCACACTGTATAAAAAAAATCAATAACAACTTACGTCTTAACTGAAAATAAACCACCATTTTCTTTATAATAAAACACTACCTATTTTTCTCTTATTTATGATGACCCCTAGCAACGACTGAATGTATCCAAATTTTCTAATGATCTATCTTATCCGAGAATCAACATCAGATCATTACATAGTCCTTATGATTAATTATTAAATATAACGTCAATGTCGTTAGAACTGTATTGAAATCGATTAAAAAATATAATCGGAAATGCAATATGTAATTCACATATATTTATACAAGATACGAGCCGAAATATCTATGAATGAATATAATAAAAAAAAACAAACGAAACATCTTTAACAAATTCCTGTCATTTGCAAGGCTAAAACCTACTATTGCTTAGAATTATTTATTATTATTAATATTATTATCTTGTTTTGGCATTTGCTCTCCCACTTAGGGGGACAATGACTTATCCCAGATATTATGAATATCAAACGAATAATCTTTTTTAAGTAATTGGCCCCGTAATGGTAAATCCGGACCTCTTAGAAATTTCCGGACGGTACGGGCTGTTGCAAGAAGTACTGCTTTCTGCATCGGTTTGAAGAGCTGTTCGCTTAATCCAAGTTCCTTGATGATCACTGGTAGATTCTTTGGGATAACTCCTGTTGATGACACAATGATGGGCAACGTTCTAACTCTCTCCATTCTCCACTGTTGTCGAATTCTTTCTTGTAGATCTCGGTATTTGGCGGTCTTTTCCGTGTGCTTGACCTGCAAATTGTTATTCTTGGGTATGGCGATGTCGATAAGCGTTGCTTCTTTGGCTCGTTTATCTACAAGAATAATGTCTGGTCTATTTTGAGTCGCTGTCTGATCTGTAAGCACGGTGCGGTCCCAGTAGATCTTATAATTAGGTTTTTGTAAAATTGTCCATGCAGTGGCTTTTGTTCTAAACACTTAATTTTTGTGTTTTCAATGCTAGTTCGTAGTTGTCTATTGTTGTGCGTTTCATTGTATTGCCCGAGATACTTTGTTTTAATACTGGCAGATATTTTTTGAAGCGAATATTTGGTTTTGTTTTCATCATGGTCCTTGATAAGTCGACAGAACTTATCCTTTTCCAGGCATATGTAGTTAATTAACCCCACAATAGCTAGATCGCAGGCGGACTCAAGTTCAATTAACCCACGTCCTCCATTGGGTCTTTTAATATATATTCTATCCACATCGGCCTACGGATGGTGCATACCTCCCATTGTTAATAACTTTCTTGTTTTACGATCTATATTCTTTAAATCTGATCCCAGCCAATAAACAATGCCAAAATTATAGGATGTAAATAGAACTGCCAAAGAGGTAATAGCAGTGATTTTATTCTTAGAGTTTAATTCTGTGTTTAGTATTTGTCGTACTCTTCGGTAATACTCTTTTTTATATTAGTTTTTATAATAATATTATCTATGCCATCTCTCTCTCTCTCTCTCTTCGACGCCTAAATACTTGTACGATTCACGAGTTTCGAGGTTCCTGATTGAGGTTTGGTCTTCTAAGCAGATATTTTGACATTTAGTCAGTTTGCCTCGTTTATACACAGTTGTCGCACATTTATCGATACCAAATTCCATCTTTATGTCACTACTAAACTTTTTAACTATAATGAGTGCTCGTTGTAGTTGCTCTTCGTCTTCTGTGAATAGTTTTAAGTCGTCCATATAAAGTAGGTGGTTTATTATATCATCACCGATTTTAAATCCTGTTTTCAACATTTAGCATGTAAGTGAGTGAAAAAAATGCCATACAGAATAGTAAAGGCGACAAAAATTCCCCTTGAAAGATTCCTCTTTCAATGGCAATCTCATTTGTGTGAATGGTACCATTGGCGTGAGTTAGCATCATTTGTGTTCTCCAGTTATTATTATTATTTTTTTTATTTTGGTGTCATCAGCATCAGTTACTAAGGTTATTAGCCTCGTGTTCTGTGTAGGCTTTGTTACTGTTTCCCAGCTCCACTTTAGGAATAGCACTGTTAATTAGAACACAACAGTGAATGGTCGAGTGGGGAATACTACCAAGGCATCAGAATTAATTTTAAATAATTCAATTACCTTAAGGAATTTTTATTTCTCCTAAAACCCCCCTTCATTAGAAAGCAGCTTTACTCTCCACCTCTTCATAAAACTTAACAAAAAACAAAAATTGTACCATTCACAAAAACCGAGTATTTACTGGACTAAGGGCCGATCTTTTCACCTCTAAGTAAAATTACATTACATTACATAACCTACAATAGCCCTATAGTTTAATCAGCAAGTAGTTTCAATTTTACTCAGAAGTGAAAAAATTGGCCCTAAGACTACTAATATTAAACAACATGATTATTCCATTTTTCACAAAAGCCAAATACCTCATAATATTTGACTAAAGGCTGACGTGGAATCAATATCTTAAAAAAGTAGCATAAAAAGATACAATAGCTTTCGTAAGCTATAGAAGAATATGCATGAAAACCTTTGGCCTAAGCCCCAAAATACCTATGGCGCAGTGGCTTGGGTAACCAAAATTGTACAATAGGCCAACTTATCAGCATTTAGCGCCACGTCTCACAGTGCTTTGAACAATACAAGCCAGATGGACAAAATTAGGTTAGGTTAAAAATGAGTGAGATAATCTCATCGCCTTCCACTGCGACCCAGATGGATCTATTATGGCTCATGTCTAACTTATATTACACCGTGCAAGCCACACCTTTTAACGAAGGCCATAGTCGAATTGGGTGAGATTTGTTTAAAGTCGGTACGTTCCAGTCGGGTAAATTCGAAGATATGAAACTTGGTTCTTTCCAAAGCGCAGCAGGTACACTCTACAGATTCGTTTTTATGCTGCAGAATTGACATTTCGATGTTTGTTGCAGACCTATCCTTCTCATGTGGTTACAGACGACAATGTCCTGTCATCAGTTCTGTGAAAATGCATAGATCTTTCCTACTCCATTCTCAGATCTGAGCAGAGGCGTTCATGGAAGAGTCGGTTAAAACCACCTTCAGATAACATAGCCCTGAGATAATTACTTTGAAAGTGTTCTTTGCAATGCCCAGAAATGGTTCTGGTCCTTTGAACTCAGATCCGGTTCTTCTTTTAGCGAGTGCGTTGGGTTTTTCATTGCCCTTTACACCGCTGTGTCTTAGAACCCAGATCAGAGTAACTTTGTTCCGGGCACCGAGGCACTCAAGGGTATTTATACAGTTTTAAACCAGCTTTGAGTCAACTGGATTGGAGCTCAGCACCTTGAGGACTGCCTCGCTATCCGAAAAGAACTTTATAATCTTGTTTGCGGGAGAAAATTAATCAATTCTCTCGCTTCCAATTCTATAGTGATAATTTCTGCTTGGAAGATCGTTCCCAGAGAGCCTGGGTTTATTGATATGTCAACTTTTGGTTTCTGGTCGAAAACTCCCTCTCCTACTCTTTTTTCAGTTATAGAGATGTTTGTGTACAGCGTATAGCCTCCTAGAAGAGAGTTTTGTCCCCCTGCTCCATACATCTCTCTCTGGAATGAAGATGCTTTAAAGCTTTTCTATATGCTGTCGAAGAACTAGCGAGCCTGAGATTAATAACCATCTCGAGGATGTGATGGTTATTAATCTCAGCCATCAGTCCCATCTTGTACCATCACAGGTATTCGTTGCATTGACTACCCACTTTCAGGAGTATATAGGAAACTATCCTGGCCTCCCTTTCCAGCAAAATGTGAAGAGGGTTTAGGTCCAGCATAGTCTCCATGGCTTCCGTCGGTATTGAAACTGCCGCAGTAATAGCGAGGCACGCAAGTCGCTTTGCTCTAGCTACCAGACGAAATGGTAGGAACATGTTCAGTTTTTGAATCGGCTCTTCATGGCATACTTTGTCAAAAGAAGGAGCGACATCCAAAAAGACGGTGCAGCAAACTTTTTTCTGAAGGTAAATTTTCAATCCAGCGTTTCATGTCTAAGGAGCCACATCAAGATCGTTTTTAAAAATGAACCTGTATTTTTTTATTTAACTAAGTATAACTGCACAAAACGTAATTGAATGGATTTAAATCCGAAAATCTTGCAGGCCAGTTTCTCTGAAGATTTCATTTAGCTATTCCCGAACTATATGGAGCTCATAACCATCTTGCATGAAATATCCAATATTTATTTTAATATTCTTAGGCCTTTCAAGTAATTAGTTGTTTTAATGTACATAATGTACATATCTCACTAGATTAGCCTTACCGGAAGTGCCATATATCACACTCGTGTGAATAGGAATTTACTTTTCAACCGTGTGTGAATATTTACTTTCCACATCAGCTGCCAAATATGGAAAACACGTAATTTCTATTTTGATATATGTAATGTCCATAGTGAAATATATTTGATGATTAAATCGTGAATAGTGATTTTTATACATAGATTCTAGATATATTTTTTTAACAAATCATTTAAATAATTTTAAAGTAGGTAACTACATTATTTTTAGTTTTTTTTGTTATTATAAATATTTAATTAGATAATTCATGTGATAAGCTTGTTAACTCAGTTAATAGAACGTTCAACTTTATCAACTTCGCTTGCTTCGACCACATCGCGACGCGGGTTCAATCCCCACTGATGGAAACATTTTTTTATTTTTAAAAAATATGAACATTAAAAAATACGACTATTGTTATTTATTTATTTTAAGTAGGTACATTTTATTTGCCCTAATAAAACATATACAGTTAATCTTTTCTTTATTTATATTATACGTTTTCGATTCATTTTCAGAAAAAAAAAATGTAAGTAGTTAAGTAAGCAATAATCTTTAATAATAAAAAAGTTCTTGTTCACCATTGTTTATCTTATTATTTGTTGTATTTAAAAAATGAACGAATGAAATACATTATTGTATTTTAATAGTTTTTTATACCTAATGTTATTACCGTTATTATCCAATGAAAGTGTTTGATAATGAAAGCACGTTTGTAATTTCATCAAAACACACTTTAAACATTATTTAATAAGCTACATAAACAAATTTAAAACCAGCCACATTTT